CCTCTTTGGGGACTACTATGATGCGAATGTTACTATGTTTCCAGTTGTCCCACAGATCTCTTAACCTATCTTTCTGTTATTAAATTATTTTTTCCTTTTGTTTTTCTGCTTGCTTGATGTTTTCTACCCTGTCTTCTAATTCACTGATCCGGTCCTTAGCTTACTATACTCTGCTGGTTAGTCCTTCCAATGTGTTCTTAATTTCTGCTATGTCATTCTTCATTTCCACTTGGTTGGTTTTCAATGTTTCTATATCTTTACTCATGGTGCTGATGTCCTTACTGATGCTGTTGAGCTTCCTGAAGATCATGGCTCTGAACTCTACCTCTGATAATTTGCTTAGTTGCATTTCATTTATCTCATTTTCGATAGAGTTCTCTTGTTCTTTCATTTGGAATTTGATTCTTTGTTTCACCATTTTGGCTATCTTGGGTTTTGGAGCCTGCAAATTTTCCCTGTGGGTGTTGGTGTTCTGCTGTTTCGGCTCCTCTACTGGGTTTGGATGAGCCTAGGTGGGCCCACGTTAAACACCACTGTCAATTCTTACTTTCCTGGGTATATTTGCAAGCCCAGGAAAGGTTCAATTTTCCTCTAGCTTTTTCCTGTGGCTAGTAGTCTCAGTTACTCAGTGCCTTGGAATGTAGCCCTGTTGTTCTGCATAAGGGGATTTCCAGAGGGTGGGATAGATGCTGGTTGTTAATGAGCCTCAATTTGCATTTCTTTGCCTTACCTGGGAAAGGCTGAATGTGGGTGGGTGCTTTTCCCCACAGCTCTGGGAAGGAGCACACTGGCCATTGTCCTTTGTGGCCACAACTCAGGAAAAACTCCGAGTGCCCTCCAAATCCTGGGTGTCCCCACAGAGTTCCAGCACAGTCTGCCTTCCCTCTGCCGTAGCACCCAGGTGAGTGACTGTGCTATTTTAGCACTCTGTCCCTCTGTCCGGCTCTCTGTGCTGTGGAGCGGGCTTGGTCTTTATTCCCCAAGGGCGCTGCTCACAGCTAAGACTGCTGCTGTCTGTGGGCTCCCAGCCTACCACCCTCTTGTGCCTCCGCAGATCCTACCAGGGTCCCTTGTTACATGGTCCTGTCCTGCTCCTTTTTTGTTGCTTTTTTCTGAGGATTTGTCTTTATTTTAGTTGTAATTCCCGTTTGGTCCTGAGAGATTTTCTGTGTAGCTCTATTCACTCTACCTCCATGTTCACATCCTCTAAGCCTATCTTGTGCACAGCTGGGTCACACAGGCCTTTCTGGTGCCCCTGCACCCTGTAGGTCCTGTGGATAACTGGATCGCTCAGTCTCTTTGCGGACCCGGCTCTATGCCTATGTTATGGGATACTGGGTCACACAGGCCTCTCTAGTGCTTCAGCACCCCAGAGGTCCCGTGGGTAATTGGATGGCACAGTCCCTGCTGGGTCTCACGGGCCTCTCTGATGCTTCAGCACCCTGCAGTTCCTGCGGGCAGGCATCTGATTGCACTAGTCTCTGGGGATCTGGCTTCCCACTGCATTTGTGAGCTACTGGACCGCACAGGCCTCTGTGGAGCCCCAGGTCCCGCCGCTAGAGGCTGGGGAGTGCTGCTGCCTTGTGTTGCTGCCTCAACTCCTCCTCAGCTTTTGCTGTAGTTTTTTGATGGGTCTCAACTGCTGGTCTGTGCTTCTGTTGCCTGGGGATGGATGTCTGCTCCCCAGCCTTTGTTGCTGGGGGTATATCTCGACTCTGATTGGGCTGCTATTATGGGGGATGGTGCTGGGCTCTGGGCTCTCTGCGGCTTCCGCGACCGGCACCTTGGGAGCTCCACTACTGTGCACTGGTCTGTGTTGACAGAGTGTCCACTGGTCCTATGGTGCCAGGTGTGCTGGTGGGCTCAGGTTGCTGGGCCCTAGCTGCTCTACTGCCTCCTCCCAGGGAAGCCCCAGGATCTTCCAAAATGGTGGGACCTCCCTGCAGAGCAGGGAGAAGCGCCCTGAAGGTCCGCTCAGCGTAGCCGGCTGCTCCATCCACAGCACAGGGACCTTCTGCTCCGCGGCTTTGCACTGCTCGGGTTTGGTTGTCCACCTTCACGTCCACTCACACACTCTCACACACTCATTCATTCTCTCACACACTCACTCTCCCTATGGTCCTGCCCACTGCCATCTTCCTAGAACCCTATTCTTTAAATTGGTATTTTCTGGTCTCTGCAGGACCTTGCACCAGGAGTAACCATTTGCATATTGCATGTTTATTTCCATCGTAGAAATAAGTGTCCTCTAAAGTAATGAACCATGACAATGTGTACCTAACACACTTTGATTTCATCATAGATGTGAGGTCTCAATGTTGGCAGTACATTACATCTGGTATGTCCTCTAAATGAGTTTAGAGAAAAGGACTGAGGCATGTAGGATTGGAACTTGAGTACCAGATTCTTGTACTTGGAATGTGTATTAAATCCAGCAGGTCCTGGACGGTGTGGCTCAGTTGTTGAGCATTAACCCATGCACAAGGAGGTTACTGGTTTGATTCTGGTCAGGGCCCATGCCCACGTTGTGGGCCCGATCCCCAGTGCAGGGCGTGCAGGGCGTGCAGGGGCAGCCAATTGATGGTCTCTCTCATCGATGTTTCCATCTCTCTCTCTCCCTCCCTCTCATTTTTTTTTTCTCTCTAAAATCAATAAAGGAAAAAAATAAAATAAAAAATAAAACCAGCAGGGTGTCACTGGACATCAAACTCAGTCTGAGAGTGATTGTAGAAGGCATTGAGTCTGACCATCTAGGCCTCCCTCAACATTTCACATTAGTTTCCTGACTTTCCAAGCCCTGTGATGATTGTGTGCAGCTCCATTTAAACTCCCAGTGCCCTCAAGCACTATTCACCTGAAAATGACCACTTAATTCTAACAAGAATTGTATTATCTTATTTTCCACTGAAACAATCCTTGACAGTATTTACAACTCATTTTTGTTGTATTAAAAAAACCCCTGTGTCCTTCTGAGGCCTTATTTTCCCTCTTGTCTTACTTATACTGCCTTTAGACATGGCCTGTGGCAGGGACTGTCATGTTACCAGAAATTGATTTTTCTTTTTTATTTAGTAATTAAACACCACAAGCGTCCTTTGCAGTTAGGTATGGCCATTATTTTCGGTCCATGGTATTTTAGCAGAGATGAAATTATACCTCTCTCAGCTTTTCACACATTGGTGGAGGTATGACCTTGTCCCTGCTGTTTTCTTCGCTCAGTACAGAATGTGGATGTGATGGCTGTAGCTGGTGCCACACTGGAACACAAGGTGGACAGGGCAAATTCAGAATGACCAATAGACTGGAGCGAAATTACCTTAAAGCAATGGTAGCCTCCAAATCCACTGCCAGGCCATCCTTTTCCAAGGTCATGGAACAAAAGGTTCACAGACCGGTTGAAATTTCCTGATTTATTTATTTTTATCGAATTAATTTTAAACACACATTAAGAAACAAGGGGAAAGACACTGGGCAATTTAACGTTCCAGATAGATCGTGAATGGGACAGTCACAGTACTCGAATCCTCGGTTTTCTTTATTCACCTCTTTCTCCCTCCCTTCTTCCTCCCCATGAATTTCTTCTCTGCTGACAGGGTGGAATTGAGATCCAGAGTTCAGCAAAGGGGTCCACAGATGGGAGGCTGTGTACTTGGCCCTGCATCTCTCCAATAGAACAGACATGTTGGATCAAATAACTTCAATCTGCTGTTAACTGCAGTCCATAAGTTGAAATTTGAACTCTACACATTTTTGTAATTCCTCTCTTCCCTTGTTATCCCTTATTCTACCTTCCTTCTAGAACTACCTCCAGGGAACGCGAACATTTCAGGTTAAGTTTGAGCACTGTTTAAATATCCATTTTATTTATTTATTTTTAAAATAATTTTTTTTTCTTTATTGATTTTAGAGAGAGAGGAGAGAAAACATGAACTGGCTGCCTCCTGCACGCCCCCCACTGGGGATCAGGCCCACAACCTGGGCATGTGCCCTGACCGGGAATCGAACCTGCAACCTCTCGGTGCATGGGTTGATGCTCAACCACTGAGTCACACCAGCCAGGTTAAATATCCATTGTAGATGATGAGCCCTCTGAGGATTGCTCACTGCTTTTTTCCTGGCACTTGGCACTTTCTGAAAATTAAGACTCTCGATAAATGAACTCAAGAGCCCCTAGTTTCTCCATTCAACGTCACTTAGGGGACAATCTCAGGCACTCAGACATGTTAGACTCCTCTGCAGCAACCCAACTCCATGATCCCATAGAATAGCCCATGAGGGTGGATTTAGAGTCCAACATTGGGAGTATCTGTATGCTTGTTAATCGAGGTATTTTTAATGAAAATTCACAGCTGAAACTTTGATTCTCAATGTGTTTGAGGTTTCCCTCTATTATCCGTTTCTCTTGTAAAACCTATTTAACCTTTACCAAACAAGTCTAAAATGTTTACTTGTATAACTAAAGGCTTGAATAACTATTCCAGCAACCTCCTTCCAGTTTCTTATTCTCACCCAATCCAATACTTCTGTATATATTAGAAAGTAGTATCCTATCTCACCAGGTGTACACAAAAAATACAATGCCCTCTTTAAATGTGTAACTTTTGTCAACAAATATGGACGGCATTTCCGCAAAGATAACTGCACCCCAAGTTAGAGCTCTTTATATGAAAAGATGAGTGGCTCTGAAAAGAGCCTTTGGGGTTAGAAGTCAAGCCGTTAACTTGCGGATCTACTTGGAACTGGTGTACTTGGTGACGGCCTTGGTGCCCTCGGACACGGCGTGCTTGGCCAGCTCCCCGGGCAGCAGCAGGCGCACGGCCGTCTGGATCTCCCGGGACGTGATGGTCGAGCGCTTGTTGTAATGCGCCAGGCGCGACGCCTCGCCCGCGATGCGCTCGAAGATGTCGTTGACGAACGAGTTCATGATGCCCATGGCCTTGGACGAGATGCCGGTGTCGGGGTGCACCTGCTTCAGCACCTTGTACACGTACACCGAGTAGCTCTCCTTGCGGCTGCGCTTGCGCTTCTTGCCGTCCTTCTTCTGCGCCTTGGTCACCGCCTTCTTGGAGCCCTTCTTCGGGGCGGGCGCGGACTTGGCCGGCTCAGGCATGCTGTAGGGTTTAGAATAAGAAAACAGGAAACTGAGTGTTTCGGCAAGACTGGCCTTTATTTATATGACTTCTATGCAAATAGGTACTTAATCTTCTCAGTTCCTGATTGGATGAATACATTCGGTAGAAACCTTTTAGGCAATCAAGGGGCTTTCAAATCTACTTATTAACTGTTTATGAGTAAGCCGCCCTGAATTCTTATCTCTTAGAAATTTTCATATTCACAACAGTGCAAAAAATTAAATGTCTTGTCAACCTTATCTATTTATGAACCTTATCTTTCCTTCGATGCAGATCTAAAGAGACAAGACGTGATGTAGACTTATGACCATATAGTTTCCTGCCAAATCAGTTACCGGGTTGCTAATGCTAGAAAAGAGCACCTAGAAGTTATTTTCATATTTAAATATGTTCAAAATTATACCCTTGACATTCACAGTTTGGTCTGATCAAAGCTGGCAACATTTAAGCTTTTGCAAAACTCAAAGAAACTTCACATTTCCACAGCGGTGGGATTATTCTGGTACCTGGGTACACAGTATATGAAAGTGATGTCAGTGTTTGTTGGAAAGTTAGAAATTTTGATATATGGTGCTTGTACTCCGGGAATAAAACATCTCTTCTAAGTCTAAGGTTTATAAAGGATGAAATGATTGGATTGATCATACTCAAATGCGAGGTTTTTGAGAAGGTTGAGAAACCCTGTAACTTTCATTTTTGTCTCCTCCCAAATTTATTCCAAAACAAAGAGAGTAAGGAAATTATTGAGGAGATTAAACAAAACCGATTAAGGAATGCCTACATGTTATTTATAGGGTGGGGTGAAGGGCGGAGACCTAAATGAAAAGATAACTGAGCAACTTTCAATTTTTTAAGTACACTGGATAGCCAATCACAAGGCCTATTTAAAGTGCACTGCGCGGAATTTGAACATTTGAACCAATCAGGAGCAGTTTGATGTTATAAATAAGAGCGAGACCAGACTGAGACACAGCTGAGAACTTTGTTTGCGAGCTGTTACCATGGCCCGCACCAAGCAGACTGCTCGCAAGTCCACGGGCGGGAAGGCGCCGCGCAAGCAGCTGGCCACCAAAGCCGCCCGCAAGAGCGCGCCGGCCACCGGCGGCGTGAAGAAGCCGCACCGCTACCGGCCCGGCACGGTGGCCCTGCGCGAGATCCGCCGCTACCAGAAGTCCACCGAGCTGCTGATCCGCAAGCTGCCCTTCCAGCGCCTGGTGCGCGAGATCGCGCAGGACTTCAAGACCGACCTGCGCTTCCAGAGCTCGGCCGTCATGGCTCTGCAGGAGGCGTGCGAGGCCTACCTGGTGGGGCTGTTCGAGGACACCAACCTGTGCGCCATCCACGCCAAGCGCGTCACCATCATGCCCAAGGACATCCAGCTCGCGCGCCGCATCCGCGGGGAGAGGGCGTAATAGTCTTTCCTACCGAGCTTTCATCTTGAAACCAAAGGCTCTTTTCAGAGCCACCTAAAATTATTTGAAGAGCTGTTAGCAAAGACCTGAAATTTGTCTGGTGTCCCTAAACTAGGCGGTGGAAGGCCGTTGGTAGCCAAGGCAGGTGTGTAAGCGTGCAGCTGTTGCCACTCAACTGCCCTCCCCCCACGACTGCATCCTGTTGTCCCTGAAGCACCGTGTGCAGCATTCCCGGGCCAGGCCCGTAGCTGGAGAAACGAGTCAACGAATGGTAGCAAGACAGAAATCAGAACTTGAAAAGATGAAGCTGAATAATTCCTTCTGCTGGAAATCCTAACCATGGTGACAGCAGCAGCACCCTTTTGGTTTGCAAGTAGGATGCTGCCTGTTTCCTGACTTTGTTAAAGGAGCTCTGGAAACGCCGCTGGGTTTACTTTAATCCCGGGTGGAGGGGATTTAATGTGTGTATGAGTCTGGGAGGTGCTGTCGCAGCATACAGGAATGGAGATCGATTAAAATTAGAATTGCCAGGAAACGCTGGGTGTTAATTCTTTCCGTTCATATGTAATTTACTGGGACTTGATTTCTATTCTCAGGCCGGGCCCCTCCCTCTGCCCGAGGCCACACAGTTTATAAATTACCGTTGACTAGAGGAACGGGTCAGCGTTGTGTCTCATTTCCTCTGAGATCGGAGGAACTCACTTTACATTTCTGAAGGGAGGAGCTCCCTCCTGTGGTCACAGGCTCTTGGGTACCAGCTCCACCCCTCCTCCCCTGGACTCCAGCTCAGCTCATTTTCCTTTAACTCCGTGTTCTGTAAATTTTATTTGCTTCCTCGTTTTTTATTATGGACCATTCAAACACTTTAATATGTTTATAAAATTAAAAAAATAAAGTATATCATAAGATTAATAAATCAGCCAAGTAAATAATTTGCATTTTTTATTTAATGCTTGATTTATTTAGATTTTTCCATTTAATAGAAGAATGAAGTCATGTACACAAGTAATGTCTGGCATTTGAGAAAATGCTATTTACATAAAACAGATTTAAAATACATAGTATTTGTATTGTAATGCAATAATAGGGTCTTGGGATTCAAACAAGCAAGTTTGATATCAAGTTTGCATTCTAGTTATTTGCTCTGCCAAAAAAACCATACTGGAGGTAAATTTGGTGTATACTTCCTGAGGAAAGTGTTGATGGCTGCTTAAGAGAAAAACTAAGGTCTTTCTCTGACACTGGAGGAAATATTGAATCAGCAGTTCAGTTGCCATTGGATCTATAAAGACTGAAGGGCCGGTGTGGGGATGTGCTGACATGTTCATAACCCCATAATTGATTGGCAAGTTATTGTGCTGACTTGTTTATAGCTCCATAATTGATGATTGGGAAAGTCACTGTGTGCCCTCTAGCTGAACCTGTTGTGTAAAGAATTTTAGAATACTTCCTGAACCAAGAAATTGTTGGGAGCTGGCTACGTATCTGACAGAGTCCACGGAACCTGGGGGTCTTGAGTCAGAGACTCGACCTCCCCCACAGTCTCAAGGAATTAGGCTTGCATTGTGTATGTGCAGCTCGGGGCTAAATGTGACCCCATGTACCTTGAAATACCTGGGTGTGCCTGGGTGTTCCTGTTATCCACAAGGCAAACTAATTTTATGCAGCATTGTTGTAGCCCTGGGAATTATATCAAGAAGATCCTATTTTCTTATATCATTAATCTTTTGCTGTGAGGTGTAAAAGGCATGTAATAAGGCATATCGAGGCTGATCTCAAAGACTGTCACAGAGGTGTTCGGAATCAGGCGCCGGCCATCCGGCTAATAAACAGCTCTTATTTGGACTTCAGTTCTCTAGTGGTCTTTCTTTGACTCTGTTGCACTACAACAGGGGACAGACATCTAGGAGTGTCTTTCCTGGGCATGTCTGGTTGCAGTATAAAGTGGGAAGGCCCTCCCCAAACTACATAATTTATTTTCCATCTGAAGGCTAGAAACAGGTGACATGAATCATTCATTGCATGGTATTTGACCCTTAGAGAAGCTTGTCTGATGTGCAGGTTTTCTCTTTTGTGCTACTTGAATAAAAGAGAGTAAGAGTAGACAGTTTTAAGGTACAATTGTGCATTTAGTCAACTCATTTAATACTCAAAGCAACCCAAGACACAGACATCAGAATTACCTCAATTTAAGAAATGTTACTGAGGTCCGGGGTGTATAAGTAATTTATCCATTCCCACAGGGGAGGCTGAGGTTTGAAGCCAGGGAATCTAGCCCCAGGGATATTTGCTTTCTTTCTGCAAAGCCCCAGGGTAACAGTGAATAATGCTTTCCATACTATCTTCTTGTGGTTGTTGTGGGGTAGTTCTTAAATGTTCAATAGCCTTTGTAGGGAAGGCAGATTTTAGCCCTACTTTCTTAGAGTTCTTGGCTGGACCTGAGAATTAAATTGACATAAAGCTGATAGGGAGCAGCAGAGGCTATTCCCTGCCCCCACCCCCCAAAAACAGAGGAATCAGAGAAACATATGATATGGGTCAGGAAGAAAGGTACTACAAAACCTTGTGAGGAGACTGTGAAGGTAGGAGTAATAGGGTGATGTAGCAGAGATTAAAATCTTAGTATCATTTTGCATTTGGCAATTACTAGGTAATTGGTAATCATGGCAAGTATTTGTTAGTGAGTGACTGGTGCAGAAATCATAATCATTGTGACTTAAGTATTGAAGCATTGGAAATTTGATAAAATGGAGACTCTAGTAATTGATAGGGTTGTGGGTCAAGTTGAGAGAAACAATATATTTATATACAAGGTGGAGCAAAAGTAGGTTTAGAGTTGTTCGTATGGAAAATATTTAATAATACAAGAATAAACTCTGTTTTGAGTACTCACAACAGTAAACCTACTTTTGCCTCACCCTATAGGGAAGGGAAGGAGCCAGAATATTAAATCTTTAAGCTGGGATATCATTATGATTAGAGTAGTATCATCAACTACTTTATTGTCCAACCAAGTTATTGATTGATAAAGTAAGGTGCCTCCATTAACAACTATCCTAAGACATAACAGGTACAGACTGAAACTGTCCCTGGTATACTGGGTGTGTTTTCACTGTATGTTTAAGTGGCACACATGAAGTCCTCAGGTAGGGGAAGGATTTAGGTCACATATGGGAGGCTGAGCATGCGATGGCTTGCAGCGGTTCTCAACCTGTGTGTGGGTCGCCACCCTTTGGGGGTCCAATGATCCTTTCACTGGCGTCGCCTAAGACGTAACAGTAGCAAAGTTATAGTTATGAGGTAGCAACAAAAATAATTTTATGGTTGGGGGGTCACCACAACATGAGCTGTATTCAAGTGTCCTGGCATTAGGAAGGTTGAGATAGCCTTTCAAGGCTACCTCTTCTGCCTGGCAGAGAAATGGAAAGGATAGGATGGTCAGGTCACAGGTGGAAAGGCTTTAGGTTGACAGAACACATGAAGGAGAGTTTAAGTTAATTATCAAAAATCTGGGAACAAAGCAGTCACGTCCTTAGAAACTCACCGAGTAAGAAAACAGTGTCTCTTCCACTCTTGATTTTTGCGTTTCCTGCCCTCTGTGCGGAGTGCTCGGTTGGCGCCCTCTACAGGACACTAGGTGCTAGGTCCGTGGAACCTTCCGGGAAAGGGAATTATAATGATCTCGGAATACAGGGAAACCAATCACTGACATTTAATTAGAGAACAGCTGCCATTCCAAAGGCAAACTGCTCCAGGGAGTAACAAACCAGGTAGTTTCCGAACGCAAGGGGACCTCGCTCCCAACTTGCTTTTTCTTGGTGCTCACCTGAGAGCTGCCATCTTAGGCCAGGACCGCCAACTAGAAAATGGCCCCGAAACAAGACCACCAGACTCTGCAAAGGGACTTGTTAAAATTACATATCACCTACACAAATATCGAGTGTTACCTTTAAGTTTGCATGCCACTAAGAGCCCTTCGTGTTACCTGGTGGGTGGCCCTGAGATAGGACTTTGTGAACCGTGTGGGGCACGGAACGGGGGCTGCAGGGGCGCTCAGCCGCCGAAGCCGTAGAGGGTGCGGCCCTGGCGCTTGAGCGCGTAGACCACGTCCATGGCCGTGACCGTCTTGCGCTTGGCGTGCTCCGTGTAGGTGACGGCGTCCCGGATCACGTTCTCCAGGAACACCTTGAGCACCCCGCGGGTCTCCTCGTAGATGAGCCCGGAGATGCGCTTGACGCCGCCGCGCCGGGCCAGGCGCCGACTGGCGGGCTTGGTGATGCCCTGGATGTTGTCGCGCAGCACCTTGCGGTGGCGCTTGGCGCCTCCCTTCCCGAGACCAGAAACGCTGAAGAAGGGTGGATGCTCACAGTACCGAGACGCTCGCTGCTGCCCCTTATATATCGCTCTGGCGAGGTTTCAGGAACCTGAAGGGCAGGGGGCGGGGTTCCGGTTCCGACTCTTTCCTGTTTCTTTGAGGGTGTGTGAGTGTGTGTTTTGCGGGGGGGAGGGGGGGGCGCAAGAGTCGCTGGTTTCCGTGGCCTCTAGATCTGTGCCTGTGCGCTATCGCAATAATTGGCATTGTACAAGTGTCCTGACCACTGTGACCGTTTATAAAACGGAGGCAATAACGCTACACTTATTTAGCTGTAAGAGGGAGAGATAACAGAATAAAATGAATTTTTAAAAGTGAAGATTCTTTAAAAAATATCAGTATTGATTTTTACAACCCTAGCACTCCCCACTGAATTTGCCCAATGGTTGTACGTTCTCTCTGCAGAGCATAATGATATGCATGGTGTGCATCATTCCTAAGAGGGAGCTCTAGAAAGGGGAGCCAAGGGGAACTGAATTTCCACTTTTGCTCCCAAGTTTGTAAAACACTACCTGCATATAAAAAGAAAGAATCCTTGCTGGGGGAGGGAGGGTGAGTGGAGCAGGGTATAGGGGGAATAAAAGGTAAACGGAAAAAAAGAAATGTCAATGAGTAACATAAATAAAAGGAAGAATCACAGACTTGCAGAGCTAATCCTGTTCTGATATGTGGTGCTTGTTGGGGTTAGAAGTGAGGCCTGTGATTCTGGTCTCTTGTGACCGTGCTACCGACGACTGCACTGATCTATGCCAGTAAAGAACTGAAGGTATGTCATGGTGAATAAAATCTTGCAAATTATTGAACAAAAATAACACTAATAAACGCTGAGAAATACTGTCCAAGCAAAAAGAGTAACTGAACTGCTGTTCCATACAGGTGATGGGTTCATATGCTTAACAGACAAATGACAACATGTTCTCACAATCTGCACATTCACACTAAGCACCTTCTATGTATAAAGAGGTGATCTGCAAAAATCTCTTCTCTGTGGGTGCTTACCATATACGCAGTCAGAAGAATAATCATTTCCTCCAGTCAGAGACTTAGACACAGATTTAAGCCGACCTAGACACCGTGATACCTTTATGAGAAATAACAAGAATCATTGATTGCTTAATTGACTGACTGATGGATTGATTCAAAAGTTTAGAGTCTACTACATGCCTAGAATAATGTACAAATACCAGATCTACAATTACAAAGACGTTCTTTTAAAGAAACAGTCAAGTACAGGAAAGAAAAAAGGAAACTTAGTGTGTGGGTAGGGGGCGGGTCAGCCTGAATCAGCTGACCAGGCTCCTTGCTTCACAAGGGTAGTAATGGGCCAGAGCAGCAGTGTGATTGCAACATTTGCACCACCTGGGAGCTAGTCAGACTTAACTATTTCAGGCCTAACCCTAAATCTACTGAATTGACATGGCACTTTAAACAAGATCTCCAAGTGGGTGGTATGTGCATTCAAGTTTGTGAAGGGCTGAGGAAAGCTGTGCTGTCCTACATTAGCCACTGGCCACATATGCTTATTTAAATGTAAATAACTTAAACTTAAAATAAAAAGTTATTTCTTCAATTACTGAGCCACAAGTAAGGCCTAACAACCACATGTAGGGAGTGGCTGTCTGTTAGCACAGGTGCTGCTGGTTAGACAGTAGAGCCGAGGATGGTTTCCTTAACCACAGTAAGCTCTGTCAGGCTGTGCTGTGATAGAGAATGTTTTCTGGAGAACTAGTGCAGCCTGGGAAAGGGAGTGTGGTGGGCACCTGAGATAAAGTGAAGATTAGAGTATTTTTGAGGTACACTAGAAATTAGCCAACTTCTGTGTGAGCGAAATATTACAGATAGAGAGACATGTAAGAAGGAAACTGCAAATTTGAGTACAGCTTGTTTTAGGAAATAAAATTAATAAGATATTCTTGTGCTTGGAGGGGAGTTTCAAGTGGGAGAGTGTCCTCAGGTGAGACCATCTGATAAGAAATTAAAATAGATGTGACTTCTCATGGGCCTTCTGAACACATTGTATTCTAATACAATGCCCTACCTGCTATAGAAATCTTATATTTTCTTTGCCCTTTTTGGTATTTATTCAATGCAGTCACTTTTCCCTTTAAACCTTTGCAGTTCACTGAATTTTGGAACACTTAAGCACAGCCCCTGGGCATTGACCTGGTGAGTACTACTTGTATCTCTCACCATCATTTACTATGGAGAGAAGGGGGTTAACACCACCATTGAGAGAACATAAAGTCATAAGTGAGATAGCCATCACTTATCTGTAGTTTCTCTCAGTTACTTTTCACATCTATAAAGTCAATGGTTCAAATTTTAGCATAGTGGAAAATCCACTGTTTTAAGATATATAGGGATTTAGGATTCAAAAGTAAAAGCACAACTTTTTTCCTGGGCTACCAAAGTAGTAGAGAAAAGTTTTCAAGTTTACAGTTCCATGGGGGTACAATCCAGCTTTCAAGAACCTTGTCCACACTACACACAGTCCCAGTGAGAAGTGCCTGGGTCTCAAGCAATAACTAACTTTAAGCAGTGTGGGCCCCATCCTCCTATAAACAGTTGGGGAAGAAATTCAGGTGAAAGCAATTATCTCAAGGACAGTGATTACCTACAAACAAGGAAGGAAATGGCCCTTAGTCCCAATGTCTTCTCATTTATTTGTGACCTAAATAACCATGGGAACCAGTAAGAGTGAATGAGAAGGGGGCACCTGCTGTAGAAAATACTTTGAACCTATCTTATATCAAGCATATGTAATTTAGGGAACAATTCCAACAATTGTCAACTACTGATAGTATGACTACACTGATGACCCAAATAACAAACTTAAAAATCTAAATTTTAATTGTAACTTTAAGTCTAGATTGGAAGAGAAAAGGGCCTATATAATTTTTGTGATCATTGGCAATGATGCTACTGAGGATAAAAAAAAATGCACAGAGCAGTCTTGCCCCCTTCCTTTCTAAAATGTTTAAATAAATAAATAAATAAATAATAATAAAACTGGGATCAAACCTAGTTTACACACTGGTCACAAATACTTAAAACAACAACACAACCACCACCCATCTTTTCTAATATAGTTAGTTGTTCATGGCGTATGCAGAATTTTCTCCCTCACCGCCAATTTCCAGTTCTCAGGGCAAACAACTTGCAGGCGAGGTGTGCTATTGCTCTCGCGAAAAAAACCGATTTCCCTTGTATATCTGAGTTGAGATTCGTTTATTTACACAAAGTTGCAAAGAAAAGAAAGTGCAGAACTATGTACTGGAAAAAATATTTGCAAAGGAAACAGAGAGAAATAGCATTTTTAAGGAAAATCTGGAAGTTGTCTCAGTTTGACCAAAGTTTTAAAGAGAGTTGAGGGAATGAGGACAGTTTCAGCGTGCCGGTTGTGAAACTAGGCATAGCAAAGAAGGCAGGAAGGAAGCCTGAAGACTCTCGGATCCGTTTTCCCCAAATCCCTAATTAATTCGTGCACAGATTTCGTATATTTTTCTTCTTTTTTAAGGGGCAAGAAACACAGCCGCCCTGCAGAACGGAGGAGCCCTCTAGGCAGCGCCGCGCACGAACCGGCAGCCAATCACCACCCAGCGCCTCGCTATATAAACCCCCGCCGCCGCGCAAGGCCACGCCGCTCTGACAGTTCAAGTCTCTTTTTGTCTTTGCTGATAAAGTAGGAAAATGTCGGAGACTGCTCCTGTTGCTCTTACTACGCCCGTCCCTGCGGAGAAAACACCTGTTAAGAAAAAGACGAGGAAAACGGGCGCAGCTGCCGCTAAGCGCAAGGCGTCCGGGCCGCCGGTGTCCGAGCTCATCACCAAGGCCGTGGCCGCCTCCAAGGAGCGCAGCGGCGTGTCCCTGGCCGCGCTCAAGAAGGCGCTGGCGGCCGCGGGCTACGACGTGGACAAGAACAACAGCCGCATCAAGCTGGGTCTCAAGAGCCTGGTGAGCAAGGGCACCCTGGTGCAGACCAAGGGCACCGGCGCCTCGGGCTCCTTCAAGCTCAACAAGAAGGCGGCTTCCGGGGAGGCCAAGCCCAAAGCCAAGAAGGCGGGCGCGGCCAAGCCCAAGAAGGCTGCTGGGGCGGCCAAGAAGTCCAAGAAGGCCTCGGTGTCAGCCACCCCCAAGAAGAGCGTCAAGAAGACCCCGAAGAAGGTGAAGAAGCCCGCAGCGGCTGCTGGAGCCAAAAAAGTGGCCAAGAGTCCGAAAAAGGTGAAAGCAGCCAAGCCCAAGAAGGTGACTAAAAGTCCAGCCAAGGCCAAACCCCCTAAACCCAAGGCGGCCAAGCCTAAAGCTGCAAAACCGAAGGCTACGAAGGCAAAGAAATCAGCGCCTAAGAAGAAATAAAGTTACAGCGGCAGGTTCTGCTTTGAAAATCTCAAAGGCTCTTTTCAGAGCCACCCACTAATTTCAGGGAAAAGAGCGTAACCGGCTAGATAGCGAGTGTGTTTTCCTTAAAATTAATAGGATTCACTTAAAAGGGGTGGGCGGGTGCGGTTGGTTTCCTGAAGTCCTACATGGTTTTGGTCACAGTCCTCTTTGGAAAATCTGGTTGCTCTTAAAAGAGCCTTTGGTTTCTGGTGCAGGGATAGTGGTTTAACCTCTCCACTTCCCCTTAACCTTATGGCTCTCGGTCTTGGGCGCAGCACAGCCTGCATATTGGGTAGGACGCCGGCCTGTGTCGATGGTCAACCGGCCCAGTACTTGTAGAGCTCCTCGTCCTTTCGGTCGGCCAGCTGCAGGTGGCGTGTCTTGCCTTTGGCGCCCAGACGCGTTAGAAGAGGAAGTCTAATTCTTCTAACAGGCCAATCTGAGGAAGGGTTATTCAAGTCTCTGGATATTTCCTAAAACTTCCTTTCCCATTGGTTTGCAGAGGTTATTGAGAGCTAATCAGAACGTACCCTTGGATTCACGTGCATGTGTTCCATCGTGAATCCAAGGATACATTCTGATTAACTCTCAAGAAGAGGTTGAGCCCTGGCCGGTTTGGTTCAGCTGTTAGAGTGTCAGCCCGCGGACTGAAAAATCTTGGATTCTACTCCGGTCAAGGGTACATACCTAGGTTGCGGTTTGGTTTCTGGCCCTTGTCGGGGTCGTGCGGAATGTGTCTCTCACATCGATGTTTCTGCCTTCCCTTCCACCCTGTCTGAAAATAGATAGGGAAATATCCTCAGGTGAGGATTTAAAAAATACAAAGCTATAAAACCTTTTGGGGAAAAAAAGAGGTGGAGATATTAAGTCTTGTATATACTGTAAAGCATTTGAAAAGCTTGGAATTTTTTCCTTCAGATCAATGGAGTTCTCTTGGCAGGGAGGGGTATCCATGAAATTGTTATTTTGACAATAATTGAGCCGCCACCCTGAGGCTGTGGGAAAGTGAAAGTGTAAACCACCCCTCTCTGGTGGTTTATAATTGGCCCTCTTTGCCAGATTCCTCCACAGATTGTTGCCAGGATCTAAGGAGCCATAGTTGCCTGCTGAGCCGGCAATGACTAGGGAGGGAAAACAAAACAAAAACGTTTTGGAAGGAAGTGTGGTTGGCAGAGAGCTCCTGGATTTGGGGTGACCAGGGCACAATATGGACTCTGGGGGAAAAAAGGTTCATTTGCATGCCCCACCATTTCTACTTCATCTCTGGGACAGGTTTTTATTTTTTATTTCAGGGAGGCCCAATTACTGACAAATCTTGACAACATTCTGAGTTCCACAGACCATTTTGGGCTGTAAACCTGGATGGGGAAAAACGTTATTTTCACAAACTCTAAATGCAATTTAGCATTTCCTTCAATTATGTGTATAGGAAACTAATCAGAATTGATTTTTCAGTACTTGTGAATTCTTCAACAAGGGCAATCACAGTTGTTTTTGTATCACTTTGTAGTTATTGTAAATATCTTGAAATAAAGGTTATGCTTATTCTGAGTTTTTGAAACTGCTATTCGTTATTCCTTGCTGTTCTCTGTTATTTGATGTGTTACTAATAAAACATTATTTTAATAATGCAAATGCAATCTGATATATTTTAATGTTGCTAACTTTCCTATGTATGCATTAAATATATAAATCATTCTTTTAAAAACTTGGCTCAAGTACAAAAGCAGCATAAGTATCTTGTGGTTGGAATCTCTTCGCCTTATTTTTTCTCTAGCACTCCTGTTGGATAACAACTTCTTAAACGTTACTATTTAAACTTATTTTTAAAAAGGGGATGTAGCCTGTAGTCTGTGAATATCTTTCTACCTCTTCTAGCCAGGAATTCAAATTTTCTTTTAAAAAAAAATATTTTTTCTTTATTGGTTTTAGAGAGAGAGGAAGGGAGAGGGAGAGAGAGAGAGAAACATCTATGAGAGAGAACATCGATTGGCTGCCTCCTGCATGGCCCCCACTGGGGATTTGGCCCACAACCTGTGCCTGTGCCCCAACGGGGAATCAAACTGGTGTCCTCTTGGTACATGGGTTGATGCACAACCACTGAGCCATACGTGCCAGGCAGGAGTTCAATTTTTCCTAGTCACAGCTGTATCCCATAATTTTTTCCTCTTATCATGGGAGTGGCTTTGTTGAAAAGGAGACCTGGGTAAATGCAGGAATGTAAAGTAGTTACTCAAAAAAACCTTTTAAAATATTTTTTAATTAAAAATAGTTTCTTTCATCCCTGGCCGGTTTGGCTCAGCGGTTAGAGTGTCAGCCTGCGGTCCGGAGAGACCCGGGTTCGGTTCCCGCTAAGGGCACCTACCTTAGTTGCAGTTTGTCCCCAGCCCTGGTGGGGTCGTGTGGGTGGCAACCACTCGATGTGTCCCTTTCACGTTGATGTTTCTTTCTCTCTCTCTCTGTCTCTCTCTCTCCTCTCCCTCCCACTCTATCTGAACAAAATACCGAAAAATGTCCTCCGGTGAGAATAAAAAATAAAAAGTTTCTTTTCTATATTTTATAGAGAGAGGAAGGGAGAAGAGAGAGAAAGAAACATCCATGAGAGAGAACATCAATTGGCTGTCTCCTGTATGCCCTCCACAGGGGATTGGGTCCACAATTTGGGCATGTGCCCTGACCAGAAATCGAACCTGCAACCTCTTGGTGCTTGGATTAACACTCAACCACTGAGCCACACCAGGTGGTCTCAAAACAGTCTTTTTGAATATAAGAAATTGCATGGAATAGGTAAGATGGGAAAACAGCTGTGAGGTCTTTAATAACCAGAGTTAGGCTTTTGGTGAAGAGGAATGAGGAATAAGAGAATTATGGGGCAATTGGACATTCAATGAGTGATCAAAATGACTATACAATATCTCTATAGTCCCTTACAGTTTACAAAGCACTTTTATGGCTGCCTCACTATAAGGCATTTACACTAGGTATTGTTAGAATGCTTGCTTCACAGTTAAGAAAACTGGTTTAGAAAGATGAGCTGAGCAGAATCACCTTACTGTTGCTTGACCAGAAAATTCCAGAGTGATTGATTAAGATTCTGTTTCTGGGAGGGTTTGAAACCGAAATTAGATCACGTTTGGTATCTTGGGCTTTTAGCACCAATGATGCCATTTGGGGCCTTCAGTTTTTGTCCCTTAACATTGTACACTTATGTCCTACAAGCACATTTATGTCCTAAACATGGTGGATTATTAACTCAGCCAAGAACCCATGAGAAAATTTGAGATTACAAATATCACACTTTGAAAGTCAGTTTACTTCTGAGGTAGAGGCAGTAATATCTACAAAATTACGTACCAACATAAATGAAACAAACCTAAGCCAAATAAATGGATAGGTTGTGGGAGACATTTTGCATGGCATCCATTTTGTTGAAATCTGCTCTGCCATCTCCTGCCCCAAGGCAGGATACCTCTGTATACAATGTTTCTGCATTCCTTTAAGTAACCATTTACTCAGCCAGTTATGCTCTGTTTATCTTTTGTTCCACCCAGGATATTTACTTGAAATTGCTTCGGGGTGGTTACTACAAACTTATCGCTTGGCAACAAATGTTCTTGTTGTTCTGCTTCTTGCCCTATATATTGTGTGGCTCTCCCCAGAATAAACTAGACTTGATCAGAGCCCTGTCTTGTCTCCATTTCTCGTCTCTTGTCCCTCCTCATCCTCACTCCCCCTCTAGAGTCCTCGTTGCTCGACCTGCGGGACGGGTCAATAGGTCACTACTAGAACAGCCAGAACAAAGCTACACCCTCCCCCGCCCGCCTCGTGTTCATATGAACATACAGATTTGTTAAGCCACAGAATCCTAAGCAATACAAACTATCAACTGCTAAATTGGTATAGCTTTGTTAGTTTCAAATAAAGTCCACTGAACCCAAACTTCCCTAATGGTAACATCCTATAATATTAAGAACAGGCAACTAACTTTGGCAAAATACTGTTAACTAGGCTACAGTACAGGCCTTATTCAGTCCTCACCAATATTACATGCTCTCATTTGGGCATGTCTGTGGACAGCCCTATGTAATCTGATCCCAAGTATAGACCCATGTAATTATGCTGTCTCACTGGTTGAAGATTTCCAGCAAAGAGGGAGTTAATTAGCTTCAACCAAGGGTGCAGATATTCTGCACAACGGGCTTGCAGTCATTTGCTGCATCAAGCTCTAAGTTCCTGGCCAGATCTTTACCTACCATTCCAGGTGTCATTTGGTACATTAGTGCTGTGCCCAGCTGTATCCCTGACAGCAGAGCTGCGCACTCCGCTGGGGCTGCTGCTTCAAAGACCTGGCAGGAGAATGCAGGACAAAGTACCTCAGGGACAGCGGGGTGCTTTCAGGGAGTTGCGCGCCCACAGCACCATTTCGACATAGCTACTACCCGCTTTACTCCACCGCTTTGTTTTGGGGACAGATTCCTCTCCTTTGTTTACAGATCTTCAACTAAAAGTGTAGGTGGCTCTGAAAAGAGCCTTTGGGTTCGAGGTCAAAGCTCGGTAGGAAAGACTATTATGCCCTCTCCCCGCGAATGCGGCGCGCGAGCTGGATGTCCTTGGGCATGATGGTGACGCGCTTGGCGTGGATGGCGCACAGGTTGGTGTCCTCGAACAGCCCCACCAGGTAGGCCTCGCACGCCTCCTGCAGAGCCATGACGGCCGAGCTCTGGAAGCGCAGGTCGGTCTTGAAGTCCTGCGCGATCTCGCGCACCAGGCGCTGGAAGGGCAGCTTGCGGATCAGCAGCTCGGTGGACTTCTGGTAGCGGCGGATCTCGCGCAGGGCCACCGTGCCGGGCCGGTAGCGGTGCGGCTTCTTCACGCCGCCGGTGGCCGGCGCGCTCTTGCGGGCGGCTTTGGTGGCCAGCTGCTTGCGCGGCGCCTTCCCCCCTGTCGACTTGCGCGCGGTCTGCTTAGTACGAGCCATGATTTAACTACCAAGTGAATAGACTGAAATAAACCTCTGGACGCTGTATTTATACAGGAACGGAATTACTCTGATTGGATTGCTGGCAGTTCCTGTCAGTTGCGTGCTAAATCTGGAATTGCTCGGAGCGTATTAGGATGGCTTTATCCCTTGGTGCAAGTCTCTGATTGGTCAATTTGAAGTTGCAATCATCTTCCCACCCCTTGTATAAAACCATTTTCTTACTTTCATTGATGACTGTCCCCCCCCCACACCCCCCAAGTATGACCACAGATATTTATTTACTACTCTTGAGCTTTTCTCCTGTTTGGAAAAAAATGCATGTAAAAGAGAAAGTGCTTTGCCCTGGCCAGTTTGGCTCAGCGGTTGGAACGACAGCCTGCGGACTAGAGAGTCCGGGGTTCGCTTCCTGATAGGGGCACGTACGAAAAAAAAAAAAGAATTAAACAGAAGATGCTTTAAATCTTTATTTTGAGCAAACAAACAAAATCCCCGCCATTTTGTGCATAGTTAACCCGTTTTCATCCAGGTCATATTACCCGCCCTTTCTCCCTATTTAGGAATCCATTATCTGAGCCTCTCAGGAATTCTGTTTCACTCTGTTTTCAGTAAATCTCTAATTCATTGTCGCATGCTCTTCTAGTATATACTGCTGAGCCGTGGATAATTTTGTGTATCACTCAGGGTACGCGCAGGTTTACAATTTCCTGGAATCCCTGGCGCTTTAATTTCGAGTTAGACTCAATATGGTAATTTAACTCTGCCTTTTGGTTGTGATGCATTTAAAACGTCAGCTGGGCTGCAAAAACAGGAACTGATAAAATGCTTCCGGCTGGAGAGACCCAGGCCGTCCTGCACAATTTCTGACACAAAGCCTCCGGACCTGTGCTGAGGACTGTCTAGATGACAGGATTTCCTTCCCTGGCTTTTCACTTGTTTTTTGTTTTTTTAAGTCTCAAAATACTTTTTTAAAAATTGATTTTAATTATAGAATTCCCTGACAGTGTTTGTTTTCATCCAATAGAAAAGGAGTTTAGGAATACCTAATATATATTCTATAAATATATTGGCCAGTTTTGGTCCAATCAGAGTTTAGATTTGTGAGTCTTTGCATATAGGTGCTATAAATAGTAGGGATTTTTACTCCTTTGTTCTGTTTCCCCTCGTCTCCCACTTTTTTCCCTTGAAAGTATATGCCATGCCTGAGCCAGCCAAGTCCGCGCCCGCCCCCAAAAAGGGCTCTAAGAAGGCGGTGACCAAGGCGCAGAAGAAGGACGGCAAGAAGCGCAAGCGCAGCCGCAAGGAGAGCTATTCTATCTACGTGTACAAGGTGCTGAAGCAGGTGCACCCCGACACCGGCATCTCGTCCAAGGCCATGGGCATCATGAACTCGTTCGTCAACGACATCTTCGAGCGCATCGCGGGCGAGGCGTCGCGCCTGGCGCATTACAACAAGCGCTCGACCATCACGTCCCGGGAGATCCAGACGGCCGTGCGCCTGCTGCTGCCCGGGGAGCTGGCCAAGCACGCCGTGTCCGAGGGCACCAAGGCCGTCACCAAGTACACCAGCTCCAAGTAATGTGCTGTGGCCACTGTCACACCCAAAGGCTCTTTTCAGAGCCACACACTTTTGCATGTTGAGAGCTGCAATACCAAGGTTTTAAAAACATGTTTTTTCTTTTAATAGACAACCTTCTTTAAAATGAAAGTATAGTGTGACGCCTTCATTGTGAACTTTTATTAATGCAGCAAGGAATTTAAAATAAGTGTGTGCAGTAGGAACTATTATATCCCTAAAAAGTTTTAGTATCCTGGCTTTTGTGTTTCAGTCAAAATCTTTAATTGTCCTCAAAAGTATCCAATCATTTGTATTATAAAATAATTTTGTACTTGGGTTCTTTGTTGTACGTGCAATAATTACATGATAGTACAATGTGGTTACTTTGCACTGTGTTCTCTGTGTTCCTCACACAGCTAAATACACGACCTGTGGGTGAATAGTAACTATTGGAATTGGCTGGATTATAAGCAAAAATGTTCAGAGAAGTAGAAATACCAATACCTCAGGACTTTGGGTGAAACAAATATAATTTCATTACCATTTAAGGGAGTTTGACATGCTAAGAGTACCTTTAATTGTATGCTTTTAATAATGTGAACTTATTTGCTTTAAACTCACAGTTTAGGTTCAGTGTGTTTTTTTTTTTCTATTAGAAAGCAGATAAGCATTTTGTATTTTAAAATTATGAATTATTTCTATAATTACTTCAGTGTGGCCCCCAATAGCAGAGTGAACAGAGTGGTGTATATACACATGCACTGAATGATCTCTAGCAGGTGGCAAGGGATGAGGCAGGTAGGCTAGACCTGTCCTGCTAGACCTGGACACGTGGGTTTGGCCTAGTCAGTCATTGTAGCGACGGAGTGTTTTTAAACAAGGATGTCCCTGGCCCAGTTATGTGTTCCAAAAGTACATCAGATCCCAGAACTCATCTGGAGAAGGGGTGTGTGTTCACTTGAAGTTGGCTAATCAAGAAACAGCTTATTCTCATCTACAGAGATATTCACAGATGTCTCTGCCATTGGGTTCTATCTTGTATTCTTTCAACAAAAGGCCCATTTTAGCGTCAATATGTCAGCTTTAGTTGGTGTCTCTCCTGGTTTTTGAGTCTTACTTTTCACCCAATAACTGTCCTTCCAAACTTCTTAGGGAATGATAAATTCCTAGCCTGGCTTAATCTACACTGACAAGGAGAACAGACCTGCAACTTTAATGGCCAGAGGAGCAGATTAGGGTCATTGTATGTCATCCTCAGCTCATGCCCCTTCCAGAGATATTTAGTGACCTCATATCATGTGCCAGAAACAGTTGTTGGCATTGAGGTACATCCGTGAGCAAATTAGACAGAATTCCCTGTCCTCAACATAGAGTAAATGTAGAGAGGTGTGTGGATGAAGATTTCCTTAGTGGACGAAGGTGTGGCTGCTCTAACAATAGTAGACTAGCTTCTGTTAGAATTAGCCTGGCTTCTTTAGTTGGCAGTCTCCTTAACAGCTTCATGCTCATTTTAGTCACAATGCCACCACCATCTGGGGTGAAAACCCAGAGCCTTCCTCAGTCCTAACACTAATGCAGTCCTGGTTTACAACTAAAGTAATGCTGCCTGATTACCTCTCCTGCATCATCTCAGATCTTCTGGAGAAAAACTGCCATGCTGATTGATTCAGGCAGTGGTAAATGAAGTTCTAGAAAGGGCAATCAATCCTGCCAGCACTCTGCTGGGCCCAAGGGTGGGGAGGGCCTTGGGCTTTGGTTAGAAAATTCCTGCATGCATTCATACCACAGCTTTCACATAACTACAAGCTGACCTAACACTGACAGCTAGGTCATGGCATTGTCCTGTGGAATATAAACTATTTCACAGAACACAGAACTTATAAGTGGTGAGACTTAGATGAGGCCAGCAGAAGAAAAGAGACCCCAGAACTGAGGCAAGGTCATCCTGAGTACAGATGGGGGTAGTTTTCTTATTCGTCAGTGGGGCTCTGTAGTATCTCATTTGATATGGACTGTTAGTATCCACCCAAAATTCTTATTTCAAAATACTAACCCCACATATAATGGTGTTAGGAGGTGGGGCCTTTGGGAGGTGATTAGCCCATGAGGATGGAGCCTTTTATAAAAGATGACTGGGATTAGTGCCACTACTACTCTTTGTAAAAGAGACCCAGAAAGCTTTTGACCCTTTCCCTTTGCCTTATGAGGACACGAGAAGACAGCAGTCCATGAACCAGGAACTGTGCTCTCACCAAACACTGAATCTGTCATCACCTTGATCGCCTTGAGTGTGGATGCGCCAGTCTCCAGAACTGTGCAAACTAAGTGATTGTTGTTAAAGCCAACCGATCTGTGGTATTTTTGTTACATCAGCCAGAGATGTAAGACGCCATTGTATGGATATAGAGAATATGTATCTATTTCCTGCTAATGACAATTCACGTTGTTTCCACTCGTTTACTATGATAATATGCACAATACTTTGTGTTTAAGTTCTTGGGGAATCACACTGGTTTCATCACCTATATATGCTAATAATCCCCAAATTTTTACTTCTAGTCCAAGGCCTCTTACCTGAACTCAAGAACCTCACATATCCAACTACTAATTCAGTATCTCCTCCAGCGTCAGGGAGAGACCTGTTAGCAGAGTGACCAGGAAGCAGTTTGTATCTTAAGCAACCATCACTACTTTTCTCAAAGACGCAGATTATTAAAGGTCTGATTTATTAATCTGAGGACATACTTTAAAAAATGTTTTATAACCCTATTGTAGTGTGTGAATTATCCATTATAATAATAATAATAATACAGTGAAACCACAAAAAAATCTTCAGGATTTACAGCAGGCCAATCAGAGCGGTGAAAGGCAGAGGGAGGGGAAAGGAGCAGGGCTTGGGGCGGAGAGGCTGTGACGGCAGAAGGGCTGTCTTTCACAAATGCAAGATGAGGCCTCTGGGCTCAGAGAAACTTAGACACCCCGAGTTAGAACACTGACTCCTTGATCTGGTCAGTGATAATTTACAAACTGCTGAACCTTGGGTTTAGGGAGGGTCAGGCCTGGAAATGGAAAAGAACAAAGCTCAGTTCCCTTTAAATCCCACATCACTGGGTTTGGGAAGGTGATGACAGTCGGATGCCTGGGAAGAGGCGGGAGCCGGTGTGAGTCCAAAGTGTGTGGATCTTTCCTGATGTCATCCCGGGGACTAAACACCCAGTCTTCTGCTGGCAATAAATGTTTCACTCAATCTGGCTTCCTCCAGGTTTGCTTTCTTATTCCTGCCTTCGCTCCCTCTCGAAGGGCGGAGGGCTCCGCCTCTCCAGGGTCCCTGGACACAGACTGCCTGAGGCCTGTCCTGGAGGAGCCACCATCAGGTCTGCAGTTACTGCTAAAGGTTAAGACCCGGCTGACATCAAACCTAAGAAAACGTGTTCATAGCAGAACCACCAGAGCACGAAAGCGCTCACGGCTCCTCCCAAGAAGGAGTAGGCGGCCCAGAAAATTGCCTTTGGTGGAGAAAAGACTGGGTTGGTGGAAATGGGTGGCTTAGCCGCCGAAGCCGTAGAGGGTGCGGCCCTGGCGCTTGAGCGCGTAGACCACGTCCATGGCCGTGACCGTCTCGCGCTTGGCGTGCTCCGTGTAGGTGACGGCGTCCCGGATCACGTTCTCTAGGAACACCTTGAGCACCCCGCGGGTCTCCTCGTAGATGAGCCCGGAGATGCGCTTGACGCCGCCGCGCCGGGCCAGGCGCCGGATGGCGGGCTTGGTGATGCCCTGGATGTTGTCGCGCAGCACCTTGCGGTGGCGCTTGGCGTCCCCCGTTCCGAGACCCTTCCCGCCTTTGCCGCGACCAGACATGATTACCACCGAGAAACAACAAATTACCAGCACGCCTCCATTGAAAGAAAGTAGAAATTCTTATTTATAACCCTGCACGTACCTTTTTTTTTTAACACAAAAACGAGGATGGGTTGGGCAGGGGGTTTGTTGCCTCCTACCCTGGGCTTCGGGTCTGTAGGGCGGGGCCGAAGGAGACAAAGAAGACTTTGTGAGCCGCTGCTCATTCTCTAGATTCATCACATGCTCTGTTGAGGATCACTTAAGTAATTCTGATGTCATGCTAACTTATGTTTTTCTAGTTTAAATTATTAGGATTTTTACTCACCGTGGGGAAGGCTTCAATGGAAATTATACATGGCTTCATATTTTATTTTAAACGCTGATCTCAAATGTAAGAGTCCCAGGCTTCTCCCTTACACGACAGGCTGCTTTATACACGAAATAAAGGTAAAACAGTGATGTTGGTAAATGGTTTTAGGTAGCGAGGAAAGAGCCGAAACGACCTGGGCAGCTTGACCACGCTTTGGGTGCTTGCGCCTGGGAGGCTGGACCCCACTGCTGGGGCCTGAACAACCCCACACCCCACCTTCTGTGGTCCAGGACCTGTTTTGTGATGTCTCCTCTCATTCCTACTCTAGTTTCATCTGTAGAATAAAAATGTTAATCTCAACATCACAAAGGTGTTGTTTTGACAATCAAAAGGTAAACTCTGGGTCAAATATTCAACGTTCAACAAAAAGAAAAAAGGGGGTTCTATGAAAAGTAACCTCACAGGGTAATCTGATCATAAATTTCTAACTGGACTGTTTTTGGCGGGACGACACTCCCAGGCTTATAACTTGTTTAGTAAAAGGTTATCTTTGCCTTAAGCAAGCCCTGTTGGCTATTCCTGTGCACACCTTTGAAATGCCAAAAGTAACCTTTTTCTTTTTCAGGCCCTTTGAGATTTAATCACCCTCCAGGGAGCACATAATCTGAATCTTTAAAAATGCCAATCCTCATGTTTCTTACTTAATTCCAAATGCATCAAACAAACAGTTAGACAGACAGCCAGCAAAACTATTCTCAAAAGCACTTGAACACTTGCTTCTGAGCATATGTCCTCATAGAAAGTTCTCTTCAGATTTGGACATTTCTTAGATGGTCAGGTGTAATTACCTGAGGAAATTAATTTTCATGCCCCATGGATTTATTTTTCTCCCCAGTATCCTTCAATCTCTCAATCTGGTATTTTACAATCTCGACCTATGTTCCTTTGCTTTCATGATACCCATATCCCTATATCAAAAACAAATTTGCATGATTTACAGTGCTACAAATTTACATGGTAATATTTAAATTTATATCCAGAGTGGGGCAAAAGTATATTTACAGTTGTGAGTACGCAAAACACAGAGTGCATGCTTATATTATTTATTAATTGTTGTATTATCTTCCATATGAGCAAAAGTAGACATACTTTTGCCCCACCCTGTACTTCTGCTATGTAACTATCAGTTTCTGTCACCTCTCCACCCCCAGACACAATTCCTTCTATGACTGCATTATCTGATAAAATAGCCAGAACCACTTTGGAGCATTTGAAATGTGGCTGAAGGTGAGGAACCAAAATTTAAATTTTATATAATTTTAATTGTTTTCCAATTAAAAGCTGATGCTGCCCTCAGTTATGGGAGATCTTTAGGTATGTTTGGACCACTGGACATGCAAAATTAATTTTTCAACAGTACAACTTGTGGAATTTATTTTATTATTATCATTATTTTTTTTTAACCCTCACCCAAAGAGGTTCTCCGATATTTTGTTTGGATAGAGTGAGAGGGAGAGAGAGAGAGAAACATCGACATGAAAGGGACACATCAAGTGGCAACCAGGGCTGGGGACAAAGTACAACTGAGGTACGTGCCCTTAGCGGGAACCGAACCCAGGTCTCTCTGGACCGCAGGCCGACGCTCTAACTGCTGAACCAAACTGGCCAGGGCCAGCGTGTGGAATTTAAATGCAAATCAAGTCTTTCCAAAAATATATTAGTGTCAGATTGAATAAAATATACACACAATTTGGAAGAAGTAGATGGAAAAATAATCTGAAATATTGCAATAATGTCTTTATATTGGTTACATATTGAAACACAAATAGTTTGGATATTTTGGTTTAAATACAATACATTATTAAAATAATTGCATTAAAATTTTTTTTTTTTTTTTTAATTTAGTAGGATTTCACGGTGTGAGAAACACTGTCTGAGACTTGAAAGTAAGGGAAAAAATGTGCTTAATGTCCTGGCTGGGTAGCACAGTTGGTTAGGGTATCATCCCCATAGACCACAATTGCAGGTTTGATCCCTAGTCAGGGGACATACATGAATCAGCCAATGAATGCATAAATAAGTGGAACAACACATTTATTTTTCTCTCTTTCTCTCTCTCTGGCTCAGCAGTTAGAGCATAGGCTCGAGGACCAGTGAGTGGTGGTTTGATTCCGGCCAAGGGCATGTATCTTGGTTGTCCATTGTCTTTGGGTCCCCAGCCCAGGTCTGCGTTGTATGGGAGACAACCAGTCGATGTGTCCCTTTCACCTAGATGTTTCTCTCTCTCTTTCTCCCCCTCCCTCCCACTCTATCTGAAGATAAATAAAAAAATATCCTCGAATGAGGATTAAAAAAATCACGTCTGTGGCTTGCTTTACTTTCTACATGCAATGTCAATCCAGGACTCTCATTTTCCTCTTTGTTTCCTGATCTCTATCAAACTTTGCTATCATGGGCTGGAATACAGTGGACATTTAAAGTATTTCTAAGAAAGCCAGTTACAGAGACTGGACTTATACTAGAATAAACTGTTGTTTAAAAAAAATAATAATTTTAGCCCAGCCAGTGTGGCTCCCTGGTTAAGCGTCGACCCATGCACAAGGAGGTTGCTGGTTGGATTCCCGGTCAGGGCACATGCCCAGGTTGTGGGCCCGATCCCCACTGTGGGGCATGTAGGAGGTGGCCAATTGATGTTCTATCTCTTGATGTTTCTATCTCTCTCTCCCTTCTCCCTTCCTCTCTCTCTAAAATCAATACATAAAAGCACCTAAAGCCCTGGCTGGATTGGCTTAGAGGTTACAGGGTCGGCCTGTGGTTCAGAGAGACCCGGGTTCGGTTCCCTGTAAGGGCATGTACCTCGGTTGCAGTTTGTCCCCGGCCCTGGTTGGGTCGTGCAGGAGGCAGCCATTCGATGTGTCCCTTTCATGTCGATGTTTCTTCCTCTCTCCTTCCCACTCTACATGAACAAAAATGGAAAAATGTCCTCGGGTGAGGATTAAAAAAAAAAGTACATAAAAACTTTTTTAAAAAGTCATTTCAGACAACTAAGGGAGGCTTGTCAAATGCAACATTACTCACGAAGGTTTAGGGGAAAATAACATTTTCTTTATCCGTCTGGGCTCTTTGGCTGGTCTAATAATCAAATTGACAGGAGACAGATTAACGGAAGAAAAACTAATTTTGTGCAACAGGAGCCTATAAAAATATGGGACCTAAAGGCAGTCAGGCAACTGAGGCTTTGCTGCCACCCTTAGAGGAGGAAAGGAATAGGGACCTGGGGCTTCAAAGGGGGGATAGGACAATTCACCGGAAAAGAAGAGCAGATGTTTGGTACTTAGATGTTTGCTCTGTCCTAAGTCATTCAGATAAAAGGTTGTCCTAAGTCATTCAGATAAAAGGTATCTGTCATAATAGATGTCTTTCTGAGACATGCTCTCTGTTTTAAATTTTTTATTGATTCTGCTAGGTCTTGATCGACTTTAGCTCAAACTAATCCACATGCCAAAGTGGCACATTCTGCAGGAAAAGATGGATACTAGAAAAACTCTTGGCTTTAGAAGTCTTCGAGAGCAGAATATCAGGACTTGGAGACTACCTAAAAATCTGTAGCTAATATTTTTGTTCCAAACATATATTTTTTGAGATTAAGAATTGAAAACTGATTATTAAAGCATTTATTGTCCCAAACAGTGTAAGCTTCTCTATAAGACAATGTGCTTTTCCATAGTGTAAAAAAGAAGAGAAGAAATCATTTAGTGGAGTACACAAGCATCTCAGGAAGGATGGGAAACAATTTACTATTTCTGGAAGTTAGGTAAACACCAAGAGAGACTGAGGTAAGAAAATCAGGTCAATTACATTGGAGAATAGAAAGGATAAAAAGTTAAATTGTCTATTATTTGATTAATGAGCAAATAAGAATGTCAAGGAGTTATCCTATCAAGTTTTATAGAAATTTTTCTTCCAGGCTCTGTTTTTGTTTTTTAATTTAGTAGGATTTCACGGTGTGAGAAACACTGTCTGAGACTTGAAAGTAAGGGAAAAAGCATAGGCCATGATGCACAATATCATAAAAGGTTAAGGCCAGACAAGGATCCCGTGAAAATAAACTTTGTCTTATTGTTTACTATTTTTTTTTTCTGTTAATCCTCACCAGGAATATTTTTCCCACTGATTTTTAGATAGAGTGGAAGGGAGGGAGGGTGAGAGAGAGGGATTTGTTGTCTATAGAGAGGACCCTGACCTGCAACCCAGGTAAATGCCCTTGACCAGGAATCAAACCTACTACCCTATGCTATGGTCCACAGGCTGATTCTCTAACTGCTGAACCAATTCAGCCAGGGACCTAATTTCATATATATATATATATATATATGTTTTGTGTTTTTTTAAGAGAAAGAGGAAGGGAGAGGGAGAGAGAGTTTAGAGAAACATCAAAATATTACGAGAGCAAAATATTGATTGGCTGCCTCCCAAACACCCTCTAACAGAGATTAAGCCTGTAACCAAGGTATGTGCCCTGACCAGGAATCAAACTGGCAACCTTTCCATGCAGAGGATGACGCCCAACCAACTGAGCCACACCAGCCAGGGCAAATACCCTAATTTCGCTCATGTTCTCTGAACCTATCACAGCATTTTTCCTGTTGCTTCACTGACTGATCCGTTAGATAAACTCTTTGACATGTGTTCATTTTATATTTGCTGCATCAGATTTACCTTTTAAAAATAGGTGAACAAGAGATATCATGGGACTTTGACTTGATTGGAGGTAAAGAGAGTCTAAGGAGAGGTCTGGTCCTTTCCTCTTTTTGTTCAGGCCTGGGACATGGAGCACTAGTCTGTCAATGGCAGGACAAATCATCATCCGTAAGCATAATACAGGAAGGTGGAAAGTGCACACGAAAGGTCCTTCATCAGGCCGATTCAGCTCAGAAAGGACAGGAACGCCCTCTGGTCACTGCAGGGCAGCTCTGAAACCTGGTAAAAAACATCCAAATATTGAATGAAGGTAAAGGAAATAGAGGGACTATATCTCCTTTCGTTGCCATATGAGATGTTAGTCAAAAAGGCCTCCTGAGTGTTTTTAATTAGTCCAGGGCAGTAGTTCTCAACCTTCCTAATGCCGTGACCCTTTAATACAGTTTCTCATGTGGTGATCCTCAACCATAAAATTATTTTTGTTGCTACTTCATAACTGTAATTTTGCTACTGTTATGTCTTAGGCGACCCCTGTGAAAGGGTCGTTTGACCCCCAAAGAGGTCACGACCACAGGTTGAGAACCGCTGTTCTAGGGGGATATGCTTTAGTGTGACTCTTCTTCAGAGTTGACTATGAATGTAGATGTTAATTTGTAGGATAATTGATCAATGATTTTTGTCTATTGAGAGGAAAATTATCTCTATCCAGTTGGTTCGCCACTTGAGGTGTTCTATTTGAGAATGAGATGTGGTTCTTGTTAGGTAGTTTCATTTACTTGCAACAAGGAGAGGAGACTGATTCACATCCCCTACTCTGTCTCTCTGAAGGAGGCTCAGCCATGGTTTATGGACATTATCTGATTAATTACATCTTGATTTCTTCTTTGCAGTTGGCTAAACTTACCTGGTTGGGTTCTAGTCAAACTCATCTGGTTACAGTTTGGTCTGCAAAATACTGTGCTACATTGTAACATTTAGCAAGACTAGTATTTAGTAAGAACCACCCAAACCTTGAGATCCTTTCCTATCTATCAGTAGAAAAGACAACCTAAAGGTTACAATGTAACTGTGTCCTAGAACAATAATACTCTTTGATCTTAATTTGCTCTTTTGATTTTATTTCAATCATCTTTGGCTTGTAGGGGAGGCACATTTTTTTCTCTATCCGTCTTGGTTCTTAACTGGGGACCCTGTACACATAACATAGATTAGCAGGAGGAATAAAAAACTAAAACAAAACAATCCAGAAGTTTATTAACATGTATATTTCATGGAAGAGGCCAAGGAAAGAGTAATTCTTCCAGGTGGCTTAGAGCTCCAGTTTATGTAGCATCATTCACAAAGTGAAGTAGATTTGTGTCGAAATTACAGGACAAAGGCTTCTGAAGTTGGCAAACTGGGAAAGTAAAATACACGGGAAGGAACAGAGTCCTCTTCGTTTGCAAATTCCTCTGTGCCTGTGGGCTGTTATGAGTCACTGGTAAGTCAGTGGTCTCCAGAATTTATATTCTGACTTTAGGCAGAAAAAGGGGAGGAAAAAGAGAGCTCTTTCTGCAATTGCTGTTTCTTAACTACCTTCAGCTCAAAAATGTTTTTATGTCAAAGAGCCATGTTTTGGGGTGACTATTCTGGTTTCCTTCACTTTCATGTATATATATAGACTTGATATTCTCCTATTCTCTTTTGAATTAGGTTTATCTCTCTGATGGTTCCCTCAACAATAACTCTGTTAGAAACACTGTATTTTTGAGGCTTGTATATTATTTCGAATTTTACATTTTGATAACTGTCATAAATACACAAAAACTCATTTCCCTATGTGAAATAAATCAAATCTGTATTTGCTTTTTAGGCTACTAAAGTCTAACCAGGGAATTAGAGGCTCTTTAGAATACTCATTTTATTTAATTTCCATGAACTTGGTTTGAGCCATGAGGTAACAGAAAAAAGCAAACTGGCTGAGAGGATTGCTGTGGTTTCTGACCTTGTTTATAGGAGCAGATCAGTCTGGCTTGTAAATGATTTTGTTTGCTTTTTTGAATAATATAATTACATTTCCACTGAAGGTTGATATAAAATCAAACATTTCTTTCGTGTTTGTACTCCACTTAAAAATGTGTCCATAAAAGCGCGGTTTCATTTAGTTGATTTTAGAGTACTTCATTTGTTTCCTGGAAAGACAAATAACCAACGGACTACAAAATTTTCATCAGTAAAATTTAAAAAGCCCGCCCTAACATGTGATTGGTCAGCTACCCCTCCTTTGTTCTATCATTTCTTTTATTCATAGTTTAGACTTTCTGACAGCAAGTTTACTGGAAAATGGTGTATATACTATTACGTGTACATGTGTGTACACATTGCATATATTCACAAAACAATTTCAACATATTGAGACATGGTCTCAATTCTTACCAGTCATTTACTCCTAACTTTTGTCCCGGCACAGAATTGCAACTGCCTTCAATACAAGGGGTTGCCAATCCTTTGTTTTTAGGAAAACAAAATTTGTCCTCTTCCTAATATTTTTGCTATCCTAATATTGTCTATAAAGTATGAGCAATGGCTTAGAAGGTGGACTGGCCTCTTTGTGGTTACCATATAAAATCTTAGCAACCAGCTATTAACAAAATTTAACCTAAGTGCACATGTAGATTTAAACACGTTTCCAGCCTTAAGTATTTCACCTCAGAAAAAGGGGACGGCTCTTGGTTTCTCTAAAGGAGATCGATTGTGAATTCTAAGAGTTCCACTTTTAACCGAGGGCCTGCTATATTAGTCACCTTTTTTTGCATGACACAATGTACCTCCGTGTCCGTTTTACTTGGCTGATAATAACTGCGTTTTTATTTTAGTTTTCAAGTGGATAGCAACACTAATGAAAGCCATTTTCAATTAGCTACTGAAAAAAAAAAAAAAAGGCAAGCCCTTTTAAAAAAGCATGGGTGGCTCTGAAAAGAGCCTTTGGTTTCAAGTTATTGCAAACTAATGCAGGCCTCTACTTGCCCTTGGCCTTGTGGTGGCTCTCGGTCTTCTTGGGCAGCAGCACGGCCTGGATGTTGGGCAGCACGCCGCCCTGCGCGATGGTGACTTTGCCCAGCAGCTTGTTGAGCTCCTCGTCGTTGCGGATGGCCAGCTGCAGGTGGCGCGGGATGATGCGCGTCTTCTTGTTGTCGCGGGCCGCGTTGCCCGCCAGCTCCAGGATCTCGGCCGTCAGGTACTCCAGCACCGCTGCCAGGTACACGGGCGCGCCGGCCCCGACCCGCTCGGAGTAGTTGCCCTTGCGGAGCAGGCGGTGCACGCGGCCCACGGGGAACTGCAGCCCGGCCCGCGAGGAGCGCGTCTTGGCCTTGGCGCGCGCCTTCCCGCCCTGCTTTCCGCGTCCAGACATGCCGAGTTGTAGCACGGAGATTAACAGCCACTAGCAAAGCAATAAAAGAAGTGTTCTGAAGTGTGCAAAGGACGCCAGTTATAGAGCTGGGCGGAATTGTTAAGTGCGAGATGGGATTGGTCAAAAATTATCTGACACCGCCAACCAATAAGAAAGGTGATGTGATGCAAGTAATTTACATAAATTCGTCACTGGTGCATTATCAAATCAGATCTACAAATTCTTGAGTACCTTATTTGCATAGAGCGTCTATAAAAGGGGACACTGTAGACCCTGACGGGCATTTTACAGTTTCCATTTCTCACCGCAAGCTCAAGGTTTTTCACTGAAATGCCCGAGCCCGCCAAGTCCGCGCCCGCCCCGAAGAAGGGCTCCAAGAAGGCGGTGACCAAGGCGCAGAAGAAGGACGGCAAGAAGCGCAAGCGCAGCCGCAAGGAGAGCTACTCGGTGTACGTGTACAAGGTGCTGAAGCAGGTGCACCCCGACACCGGCATCTCGTCCAAGGCCATGGGCATCATGAACTCGTTCGTCAACGACATCTTCGAGCGCATCGCGGGCGAGGCGTCGCGCCTGGCGCATTACAACAAGCGCTCGACCATCACGTCCCGGGAGATCCAGACGGCCGTGCGCCTGCTGCTGCCCGGGGAGCTGGCCAAGCACGCCGTGTCCGAGGGCACCAAGGCCGTCACCAAGTACACCAGCTCCAAGTAATGAGCTGAGGCCACTGTCAAACCCAAAGGCTCTTTTCAGAGCCACCCATGTTTTCAGTATAAGAGTTGTATTGACGTTAACAGCTGCTGTGTCTGCTAAATACGATGCTAAACTGTTTTCATTTTGCTTATCTTCATAAAAGTGCCCTGTTGTGGTGTGGTACCACTTTGAGACACACTTTGCTTAAAATAAGATAGGTATTCAGCTGGGTTAGTGGTAGAGTGGATGTTTCTTGCTTCCACTGTTGCTTTGGTTGCAAAGCTGCCTAAAGCTTTTAAACAAAACGCGAGCAGGCAGTTAAGGTACTTGGAAGTTGAAAAGGGCATTGATTGGTTCCAGGTTAGGGCTACTTGTAATGAAAAAATTTCCAAGACGTTTAGAATGGTGAGACCACTGGTAAAATAACACATTGTTGCTCTTGGTGCTGAAAGTTCATGAAAGAAACACTCTTACATACTTTGGTGTCTTTTTTAAAATTATTTTATTTCAGGGTGGAATTTATATCAGTTTATTTTTATCCTGGTCCCCAAACGTTTTTTAAATGGAAAAAAATTCTCATGTTATTCTAATTATCACCACCACTGCTGTCCTGCCCATTTTAGACATATATGATAATAAAGATACACTTGTCCTTATGATTACAAACCTAAGATTATAAATCGCCATGTATGAAATTCCACGTGGAATAAATGCTACTAATATACATAACATTTTTAGGATTTCAACTCAGGAAAATGGTAACTCTTTCTATACATATTTTGTGTAATTTTTTTCCTGAATAATAACCTTCCCACTTCCTACACATGTATGATTTCCACACACAGACACTACAATATAAACAATGAATATATATTGAAACAAAACAAACAAAGCCATAAGAAAAATGTAAAACTAAAAAGTTAAAAAAAATATAGCTGTACTCTGTGAGGGTTATTATAAAGTCAATTTTTGCTTTCTGTATTTCCTGAAGTAAGTACCTTAAACAAGTCTATGTGGGCTTCAGGGGAGTACAGAAATTGGGGGGAATTGTTTACAGTAGTGTATCTATATGTCCCCTCCCCCCATCCTGAGCAGAAAGGACTGCATATAGCTTTTTCAAATTCTAAATATACTGTAACTTAGTGTGGTAGGCAGAATAATGCCACCCTAATTAATCTATCTCCTACTCCATGGACTCTGTGATATATTAGATGACATGATAAAAGGCAATTAAATTGCAACTGAAACTGAGGTTGCCACTCACCTGAATTTAAAATAAGATCCAAGTGAACCCAATATAATCACAGACGTCCTTAATAATGAGAGGAAATCAGAATACAGAACTAGACAGATGGTGGTATGAGGAGGATTTGGCCAGAGATCTCTGGCTTTAAAAACAAACATAAGAGGCCATGAGCTAAGGAAAAAGAAAGGCCTCCATCAGATGGAAAAGCTGAGCAGACTCTCTTTTGGACCTCCAGAGAGCAGTGTAGCCTTCTGACACCTTGATTTTTGCTCCATGAGATCCATGTACAGATGCTGATCTGCACAACTATAACATTTTACGTTATGTATTTCACCAAGTTTGTGATAATTCTTCAGACTAGCAATAAAAAATTAATGCACTTACATAGGTTTAAGAATTATTGCCTAATGTATTCAGTTATGTTCTAAAGACTATATACATTTAAATTTAACTACAGTATGTAAATATCAAAATCACCAATGCCTGGAATATAGATGCATGTAAATTCTTTCTAAATATTTCAGGCTTACATAATTTCAAAATTGCTCTCATTTTAGCAGCAGCAATTTACATGCCCCTTTCTGCTCGTGTCTAAAATGTCTGATTATAACAGCAGAGTCTAATTTCATGGAGAGACAAGCACTTCCTCCAGACACTGCAGTATTATTACTTCTGATTATTAAACTACTTCAAAAAGCTGGCCTTCATTATAGGTCTAGTATAGGAGTAATGATAAAATGTCCATAAATAACTTCATGAATTGTACACCCCCACAAACTATTTGAATTTATTATTAATAGTGCATATGTTTTAACATAAGTGTCAACGAAGTTGATTTTTGTAATGTTTTCATTTGGAAAGTGTTAGTTTGCCGAGGGAGGAATGTACGAGCCGAAGGGATGCAGGAGCAGCATTTTATTCAGGGCATCTGCAAAGCAGACGGGCTGAGTCTAAAATAGTGTCAGCCCCGAACTGGCCGGGGCTTGCCGGTTACATGGAGTGATTTTGGGGAGGCTCTTTTGGCGGGCTCCTCAGGCCGGAGCAGGAACTAAGACTTGGCAAACAGGTTATATAAGATGCTCAACTGTAACTGCAGAGTCTGGTTCCCATACCAGTGGGGGATGTGTGGTGAAGTAAAAACAACAGTATGGCCAGATGAGCAAAAACAATGAAAGGCCATGTCTACAGAGGCTCTCTGGCCTACCATTCCAGGATTTCATTATCAAGGATTGGGGCCCTGGCCAGTTTGGCTCAGCAGTTAGAGCGTTGGCCTGCGGTCCGGAGAGACCTGGGTTCGGTTCCCGCTAAGGGCGCGTGCTTCGGTTGCAGTTTGTCCCCGGCCCTGGTTGGTCGTGCGGGTGGCAGCCACTCGATGTGTCCCTTTCACGTCGATGTCTCTCTCTCTCTCTCTCTCTCTCTCTCTCTCCCCCCCTCCCTCCCTCCCACTCTATCTGTAAAAAAAAAAAAAAAAAAAGGACTGGGGGTGGAGGTCCTTTCTTCAGTAACTGCTTCCTGCTGGGTGGGGGCGCTGGGGTCACCAGTGGATGGACTTTAGTAATAGTCTACTGGTCTACTGGAATTCAGCACTGGCCTTCCAGGACTTGAGATAAGGGTTGGCATTGGACCCATGATTGAAGGGGCATCCTCTCACCAATGGACTGGTTGGTGAAGGCCCGGACATGGTTCTGGAGAAATGATGAAAACTGGCATAGGATACAGGGACCAAAAAGAAAGAAGAGCAAGGAGGAGCTAAAGGAAGGATCCAAGAGTTCCAATTTAATTTTTGTAACCACGAGCCCCAAAATTCCGAGAGCTGGTGCCACACTTTTGAGGACCCATGGGCTTGTTTCATTGCTGCATCTCTAACTATACCAGACTGACTCACATAAAAGCAGTATTCCTCTTGGAGGAAGAGACAGAGGTCTAGACTGTGTGAGTAAGCAATTAGGTAAACAGGGACATAGGCGAACATTCTATGAAACAGAAGAACACAAAACATAAAAGTTAATATATACATAAATCGTCAACCAGTTGAGCAGATGTCCAGATATAAGGCTTCCACTGGAATGAAGTCATGCAGACACAGTCTGACAGATTGTCTGCAGTTAGAATATTCCAGTGGTTATCAGGTGTATGAATGGCATATAGAGACACAGCCTTAAACAAAACTTTGAAGATAGTTAACTGCACTGGAGTTCAATACCCATAAATGGGTACTGTGGTTTTCACTGAGACATAATCTTCTCCCTCCCTAAGAGTACCCTCCAGTTAAAGAGACTGTATTAAGTCTAGTTTTAGCTTGGCTTGTTATTTGCATAAACACAAAAGTATCAATAGATCAAATTGACCCTGGCCGGTTTGGCTCAGCGGTTAGAGCGTCGGTCTGCGGTCTGGAGAGACCCGGGTTCGGTTCCTGCTAAGGCCACGTACTTCGGTTGCAGTTTGTCCCCGGCCCTGGTTGGTCGTGCGGGTGGCAGCCACTCGATGTGTCCCTTTCACATCGATGTTTCTCTCTCTCTCTCTCCCTCCCACTCTATCTGTACAAAAAATGGAAAAATGTCCTCGGGTGAGGATTAAAAAAAAAAAAAATAGATCAAATTGATCCCATAGGCTTTCCCCAATTTTACTTTGCTGGAATGTTACTTATTCATAAGGAATCTTTAGATGTTGCTCTGGTGAGCAGTTAACAGTCAGCCCCTCAGGCAGAGATGCCAAAGTCACAACTGCCATTAGGCAGTGTCCAAGGTACCTGCTGATTTGGGCTGTGTCCTTAAGTTTTTGAGGCCCCCAAAGATGCTGAGGTTTCTTTTTGCCATCTTTCAGGAAAGTAATTTTCATTCCTTACCTGGAAAGATTGCCATGAACCATGTGGCCAAGAAAGGTACCAGGCCATGTCTCCAAGGGGCTTTTTCAGTTTCAAAGTCAATCGTCATTCCTTAAAGTTTTCTGGTGACATCCAGAGTCCTGGCATGTCTCTCTCAGATATGACATTACAGTCAAAGTCTTGGTTAATAAAACCATAATTGGAAACTGGCTTTATGTGTCCTGTTAAGAAGAAATCAGATTCCTATTGGATTCATGCAAATAAACACATTGCCATGAAAGTCAT